GAAAAGCACAATGTCTCAAGAACTCACATGAGAAAATGAGGAAAAAGATAAAAATGTATTGTGAATAACCAATACCTAATTGTAGTCACTACAAGAGAGAGGTAGAAAAAAAACACATTCCTGAAAATCAAACTGAGTTATGCCTGAATATTCTCATTATGTAATGTACAAATTAATGAAATGCGCTTTTTTATTCCTGTTATGACAGTATAATTTAGAAACCCATTAAAAAGCTTTCAATCAAATCAAGAAAGACGGACATTTTCATGTGCAAGCAGCTTCCTTACCATAAAAAATTATACAAATTATAAGAGGGGAGAGTTCACCATGGAGTCAGATTGTTTTAATAGCCACTTGACTCAACAAAATAATTTCCAAACAGCTTCTTTGATTTTCAGCTAATGGAAAAGAGAAGGGAGTATTTTGTCTTTAGATATTTACATCACTTCTTCAGTCCAATCACAAAAACATTTTAAAAATGACATTTTCATTGGCCTGTCTTAAAGAAGAAATATTAAAAATTCTGGGCCACTTTTACAGTGTTATTAAAATTCTCTAATGCACAACTACTAGTGAGATAAGAAAGTCATATCATCTATTGTCTCTTGTAACCCATCACAGGCTCTAGAAGCAGTCAAGCCAGCCAATCTAATTCATCTTGAAAACCATCGAAGTCCAAACAGATTTTGACAAGCAAACGGGTGGGATATTAGCATGAGCAGAAACAGAAGACACAGTGTGATTCTGAGAGCTCCTGGAGCCTGCAAAGCAGTGGGAGCTTAGTGTCGAAGGCTGACTGACTGTGAATAAATCAGCTCTGGGAAAAATTAGAATTTCTAGATCATAAGTGACAGATGTCCCTCATGCTACAGTGACTTTCAGGACACTTCATTTGAAATTTATTAGGAGAGGAGGAAAAGTACAGTTACAGAGCAAAAGCAAAACACTTCACGATTGTGTGTGGTGGGTTTTAAATTAGTCTGACAGTGTCAAGACTGCTTGTTTCATTCAGTCGGTCCAGAGTAAAAATTAAAAGTATTAGAAAAAGAAGAGACTCTCAATATAGAAAAGTGGGATAATGTACTTCCTAGATTTTAAAAAGTGTTATTTTCATAAAATTTCCAGTGTTTAACAAATAGCATGGGAAAGTGCTCTGCTGAAGCAATGGGCAAGCAGGCTTCCTCGCCAGCTGCGCACCATGTCCCCACAGACCTGGCTGAGAGTGGCCACCAACCAGAGGGGTCTCATCTTCACCATTTCTAGCAAACAGTGGACATTACGTCCACAGGATGCCAGAGAAGCCAGCCATATGAACTTCCCCTGGTTCAAGAGGTGGTAGAAAAAATGATGGTCCTGAGGGGACTATCAGGTGCCACGTTCTGGATGCTACTGCACGAGGATGTGCTTTCATCCTGGGAGAGCTAAAAACTAGGAGGGTGTATTACAGAAAATAGCACTGTAGGCTTAAACTTCTTGTATTTTTCATTAAGCACTGTCTGTTGGTCACTGTAAGAGTCAGCATGCTGGACTGGATGGACTTTTGATCTGATCATGCAAGGCAAACCCACAGCCAGGTGACTGAAAGGAAACACTTGACCTAGTGATGACAATTCCTTGTACGACAGATGAAGGACTAGATGAGTAACTCCATAGTAAAACAAAACAATGGAAATGAACAGGCGGGATTCCCACCAACTTCCATTGAATAAGCCTGCATTTTAAAATTAACAGTTGTTTATTCCTCAGCTTTTTAAAAATTCTAGCCATTTACCACATGCCTATCTATACACTTCAGAACCTAACTTTGCAGATACACTTATTTAATCTTGGCTTTGGATTGGTTTGTTTTTATTTATTTATATATTTAACTAAATCAGTGCACTAGGACCTATTCCCGCTGGTGCAGTCTAGCTCATCTATCACAAACCTTTCCCCCCTACTGACAACAGCTGAGGCACTGGCTCAGACAGCCTGAACTATCAGTAGAGCTATAAAAAGATGACACTACCATTTTGCTGGATGTTTTATCATTACGGAGTTGGTGTTTCCTGAAAATCTGAATTATACGTGTTATTTGCAACTTCTTGCAATATAAAATTTTCAGAAGGTCCTTTTTGTCAAACCCAATGTTTCACATTTTTAAAATGTTGTTTTATTAGAATATAAAAATTAAAATTTTTCCTAATAAAAAGTATTTTAGATCTAAAATTATTGACCAACACATTTTAACACAATTAAAAAAAAATGCTGAATCCCTGGGAAGTTGTTATTTTAATAAAATGGCATGTTCAAAGGCAACACATTCCATCAGAAAAAATTTGGTCACCTTCAGTAATGTAGTTTTAGGTGACAACTTTGTTCTTAGACAGGTTCTCTGAGTTGAAGTGTTCTCAGGTCTAACAGTAAGTCAAAGGGCTAGTGAGTTTCCTTATAAAAACTGTTATATTTCAAAGGTGGAAAAGGGCTGCTAGTTTGTAGTCTAGTAGTACAAGGGAAATGCAGATGCACAGTATCTGGCAGGGACCCAAATAATTTCTTTCATGATTCAATTTTAACTTTCTTGCCAACTGCATGCCAAGTCACAATTTCAGAAAGACACCCACAGATCAGTGCTGGCAGGGCTTATCCTGTGAATCTGAGCACCAAGAGGACCGGCATGTGGTGGGTCCTGGAGAGGGCAGCCCCATCTCCCTTCGATCTACCCAGCACTAATGGCACAGGAGTGGCACGTGAGGAGGATGTTAGCCAGGAGAGGAAAACCAAGAGTAAGCCCTTGTCTTCCCATGCAGCCAAAAAATGCAGCAGCTCCAGCCACCTCACTATACTGTCAAGGAGGCAAGTATTTACATCATGTCACAGACCGCCTTGTTCATTGGTATAGTCAGTGAACAACCGTACTCCAGCCCTTGTCTGGTGAAGAAATGGTGGGAGGACTGCCCACCTGCACTCACGCTACACGCACACCTTACTGCTCAGTTATCAGTCGTCAGCTGCATTTGGTCTTGTTCTCCACAAAAATAGACAAAGTGGAAGATTCCTATGATGCACCGTCAATGAAAACTTGAAATGTGACCTTGGTGGAAACAAAAAGGAAGATCTGTGCAAGGTCTCACCATTAAGGTAAAAGGGAAGCTACCAGGCTGCTTGAGAAAGGTGAAGTCATTGAGGCAGCAGAATCAGGTAAGATGTTTTCTTTGTTTAACTTGTAATTACATAGGAAAAAAAAGTTTTAGAAGCTGCGCTCCCCCCTCCCTCTTCCTCTTCCGAGTGATTTACAGGAGATTCATGAAGAGCAGAAGATGGTCAAAGGGCTGTGACTCTGTCACAGGGCAGGGGAAGGTGCCTGAAAGGGATGGGCAGGCTCCCACAGAGAAAGAAGCACGGCACGAGCCTCTTTCAAAGGAGAAACGATTGTGCCGAAAGATAGCTCAGAGGCAAGACATCCAAAATTTTCACACAACATTTCCTTTTCATAATTAAAGGCTAGGGTAACTCTGAGAACAGATTCTGAAAAAGAAACTCCCTATTGGTTTTCAGTAGGTTGAATTACACCAATTCATACAAAATGAGAAGCACTAGTTTGCTTCTCTTGGGGGAACATGTTACGAGGGGAAAACGCAGCAGAAATGTTTATTGGTGCCAATGAGGAGTCAGAAACATTGCTCAAGTTAAAAGTGGCAATATTTTGAAAAGAACCCAGGGCTCAATATGTAGACACTACAGGAGACTGAAACTCTGGCCCAGTGTAAGTAGCAAAACAGAGGTTGAGTTTCTCAAGCTATATCCAGACCACCTAAACTGTATATGTGGCACCTACAGGTAGAACTTAAGAGCCTACGTATCTAGTGTGATTGAGATTGACTGTTCTTGAGCACTCTGTCTGAAAACCCTGAAAATCAGTAATTCTTTCACTTAGGGCAGCACTATGTCCAAAGCACCAACACACAGGCTTTCAATGTAAGCATTAAGTACAAGAATTTTCAGAGAATCACAGAATGGTTTGGGTTGGAAGGGCCCTTAAAGATCCCCTAGTCCCAACCCCCCTGCCATGGGCAGGGACACCTTCCACTAGACCAGGTTGCTCAAAGCCTCATCCAGCCTGGCCTTGAACACTTCCAGGGATGGGGCATCCACACCTCCTCTGGGTAATTCCAGTGCTTCACACAGCTTGATGTCATCGGCAAACTTGCTAAGGGGGCACTCAATCCCACTGTCCAGCTTGCCATATTTTGGTGCAGAAAGCTGGAACCCAGCTTCACACCAAAAAGCTTTCCCGCAATTCTAGGATATTCAATGAGCAAACTCCATCCAACCTCTGGAGTGGTCCACTCTAGAAGATATGTTATCATCTAACTCATCTGGGATGCATTGACCTCTACACAGGGCTCACTAGTCAAGGCAGCTTTCTTCTAGATCTCTGAGGGAAGAGACAGAGTAGGAGGACAAGTGCCTACTTAAATGACTGGAAAGCATTAAAACTGGTGTGATACTTGGTACCACTTACAGCTCTGGTTCCCTTGAATGCAGGGGAGAGATAAGAAGAAACACAGGGGAAAGCAGTGTTTCAAAATAGGGAAGTGGGATATAATAAAGTGGCAGTGTGAACCCTGCAGTGAGAGTCTTTCAGAAAACATACTAAAAGCTATTCCCTAGTAAATGGCTTAATAACTATCATTGCTATCATAATACAGAGTTAAATTAAGGATTAGATATGGGCATTTTGTAAAATTCCTCACCCTTCTGATTTAAACTGCACTATTCAACTCCACAGCACAGAATTTTCTGAATGGCAATGTCACGATTTGCTACAACATCACAGGCAAAGCTTATAAATAATTTAGGAAAATACTCACTTGGCTTGGGAATACCATTTAGCCCCTGTTTGCAAGGCATACATGAGCTTCCAGTGTACACAGGACCTGAGCTGCTTCTGTCTGAATAAATAACCCGCTCCCATTGCACACATATACGGACATCCCCTTCCAAATTAATGTTCTTACCTTATCTTTATTTTCAGAGCCAGAATCCTCAAGTTTGGTCCGAATGACAAAGGGAGTGGATAATCTCAGGAGAACTCGTTCAAATGTGGCACTGATTTTAGGAGAAACTATGTCGAAGCAGTCTTGGAATTTCAGAGTTTTATGAGTGTCACATCTGAGTTGCTTCCTAAGACCTTCTCCAAGCTGGAGAACCAGCATGTTTGGATCAAACATCAAGTGAAAAGGGAAAGCTCTGCAGAAGGTACTGATGCTAATCCTCAGGTCTAAGGGAGACTGGGAAGTTCCCGGTGGAAGTGCTTTTGTGATATTTGCATTTTCATGTTCTTTGATAAGGAAAGTCAGACAACTGCAATTACCTGTGTTCGTCCCCTCTGAACACAATTTATCATTAGTGACCTGTTCTACTTCCACATCCAAGAGGTAAATCTTCTTTGCTGCTGCCTTTATCATTCCTATCATTGCAAATCCCACAATCTGATGCGGGTGAAAGTAATGAAGCATAAGATTGCCTTCAGGGAGCTCTTTGCATAGGAAAGAAGGGGATTCCAGGGTGGCCTGTCTTCCAAATGAAGTTCTAATGTGCTCCAGCAAAGCATCAAAGCCATTGAAGAAGTCTTGAAGGGTCCCACCTACAGCTCGAAGAACTCTTTCATTCTCCTCAAAGCAGATGTTGAAGAATTCCTCTCCAAACTTTTCTTGCATTTCTTCAAACTTCAAACCTATAGGACAATGAGAAACAATCAACAACACAGTATTGCTGCTGTGTCACATTTGCCTTGTTCTCTACTTGCCTAGTATTTTCCAAGTCACTGAGAGTGTTTTTTTCACTATATAACTACCCACAGGACTTCTGTTTTCTCTGGCAGTTGGGAATAACCCTGAAATCCATTTTTGCCTGCCATTTTAAGTCCCCATGTTTTTAGCTCACTCTGACAGCCAGCTACTTGTGGGATTTACACTTGCGTCTCTCCTTTTCCCTGCCAGAAGCCAGGATATGTTAAAATTTCCCTAACTTTCGCATGTCACATGCAGTCACTCTGCTGTATGAATGCACCCAGCCACACTGACCCTTCCATAGTTGATCTAGCCATGACCGAGGTTTGTTTTTATAGCCCCTCTGTGAGGGACCCAGCTGTTACCAGCTTGAAGAATAAGTTTCTGGGACTCAGAGTCAGGCCTTTGGCTTTCAATAAGCCATGTAAAGCCCTGCAGTCAGATGACACTTTAGCAGGTGAGGGAGTGAGGTTATGAGGTTTGGGGGTATTTTCCAGACAAAATACTTTTCTCATCATAGCTATTGGGCAGTGCCAGAAGATACAAAAGAACAATTATTTCTTTTTTGTTGACTGCAAAGGAGAGCAAAGCCTTTCCATTTTAGGCTCCTACATTCACCCATCTTTAAAAAAAAACTGCCTCATAGAGCAATCTAAGCTGCTAGTAGATGGGACGGCTCTGTGGTGTCTCATAACGTCACTTCAAGTCTCCATCACAGAAATTCAAAAGGTTTTGATTTACAGAGGTGATAAGGCTCGTATTGCTGAAGAGATGAAAAAATATCCATGATGGAAGCGCCTGGATACAAATGTGTATCAAATCCTACTCCAGTTTGGTTTCTCACCATTTTAAGGATAAGCTAGAAAAAATAATCTTAAAATGGCTATTAAACATTTGCCTCTGTCTTATTTTAGGGAAGAAGTACTGTGTGAAGTTTCATCTGTACATAGCCCCTGTATCACATATTAGAGTTCCAAAATTAATCAGATATGTTTGCATTGTTCTAAGCTGTAACAGAAGAAAAAGAAGTATGAATCACTTGTATGTGAATTAAAAATATCCAGCAAGAGTTTTCAAAGGAAATTAATATAGGGATTAACAACATCGTTCCTTCAGTGTCTTGAAATCAAATCAAACTTGTCCAACACCTCAAAAATCACCTTGAATTCTAACAGAAATGAAGGGCACTTATTTATTTCCTAGGGGCACAACAGACCCTTCATTTTAATATGTATCCAGCATGCTTTATAACATTGATAAGATCCCAGTGGATCACTGAACTTCCTATTGTTTGTTTAGACTGCTTGTCAGCTTTTCAATTTGGAAGAACAGTGTGACTGGTGACCTTCGTGCCCAAGAGGTATAACAGGGGATGAAAGAAGTCATGCATCTGTTGTTTGCAGACACAAACTTTTGACCACCTCAAGGCAGCATCTGAACTGCCTCTGCACACAGGCACAGTTACAACGAACAACATTCACAAGGGTTCTGAGCATTCTGCAGCTTTGCAAACTATCTGCAATGGTAGTTTTCTTTGGACTTTCAACATGATTAATAGCAGATTCAAATGCATAAAATTACAGGACAACAGGACAATATGACAAAGCATATTTTATAAAAGAAGTAATAGTAATCATTTGGGAAAGTTCATTCAAATGCCATTACTCATAATCAAATTTGTTGCTAAACTAGGTTATTACAAAAATATTCCCAGGATCTTTTATGACCACAGATGGTCAGATCTGCAGCTAGGCCAAAAGAAAATACCTCTGGTACACAATGCCCCCTAATATCCTGACTCAGAAGACAGTGTGCCAATTCCTGACTCATTACCACTATGTCTGCATAACATAGTATAGTAATATCTTCCATAAAGATTCTCACTATAAACCAAAAAGAATTAAATTCTAACCCATACCAATAACATTTTCATAATTGGATAGTAACAGGAAGGAGCTAAGAAATTATGATATCCGTATGTATACACAAACACATATGCATACTTTTAAATCTCATCATCCTGTACTGTGAAGTGTGAGTAGCTTTTGAAGAAGCCCGTGTGTAAAAGTGAGCAGTCTAGCAGGGGCACCCAAGGCTGTAAGACCACAGAGGTCCTGGAAGTATGGGAAGAGGACAGTATCAGAAACCCCTGGGCTACTTGTACAAATGACCAAATACTGTCACAACACTATGTAACATCCCACAAAGCTGCCCAAAATGATACCATAGGTGAGCTTTCTTTAAAGTGTATGATAAAATAACAGTAAATTCAGTCTCGTTAGCGTTAACAGGATTTGTATCTTAATATTTGGCCTAAGATTTTCCTGATAGTTTTAGATTGGGCTTGTCATCCATGCTGGAGGACTGGTTGCTCAATCTGGATGCAACGTACTGACTCCAAGCAACACGCATTATACTACAAAATTCGGGTCAATGACCTGGCTCGAGGACATGCCACTGCTTTTAAAAACATTTTAGCTTTGAATTGAGTTACACACAGTACCAGCAGAAAATTAGATTAGCTCGGAATAGAAAAATGGATATGCCCAAGCTCGACCAAACTGCTGGTCTGTCTTAGTCGGGAATTTTCTCTCTAATAATAGACACTATGAGATACTGAGAAAAATAAACAATGTCAAACAACCTTCTAAAACAAACACATATGATGTACCTATCAGGGAATTTTCTTCCTAAGCCCCAGAAATACGAAGTATATTTCTTCTTGAAGCATCATGTTTTTTTCTTTAAATCAAAAATCTTTATTTAAATTCTTATTATACAAACACGCACAAACTCTTTTTTTCTGTATTTCTACAAAGCTCTTGGCTTTAGTGATGTGCTTGTATGAAGCTGCACACAATACTTAAACTGTATTTTTACTAATTTATGAAACAAGTGATGAAAAGAAGCAGGCACTTGCTTAACATGAACCCTGCATATACTCCATCATAAACTTTTCATTTACAACCATATGAATGATCCAAATCTTTTGCGTGTCTTCTGTGGAGTTTCTCCTTGCTTCTTTCTCTATACTTCTGTTTAGCTTTCAAGAGTCGACAGAAATGACCATCATCATCACAAGGAGAGAAAATGTCATACTGAATCAGATTGCTATTCAGCTGCTCTGAAATCTTGTCTCAGCAGTGATTGGTATCAGACGCTATAGAAAAACTGTAAAATCTGATGGAAAATCTTGAAAAAACATGGTTTTAAGGAAGATCCTCCCTAAGAGCTACAGTAAATGTTTGGCTTGTTCCTTGAAATGGATGGAAGTACCAGATCAGGAGATAGATAGATTTCTTACATAGAGAAAAACCTGCTTGTTAAAAAAAATTCCCATAACTCATTGTTTCTATAGTTAATACTTTACTACGTTTCAAAACTTTCACTGGCTAATTATTATCTTTGAAAATTACATTTGGTATGATTTCCAATTCCAATGTATTCAATATTCCCTTTGGTTTTTTTCTTTTAGTTTGAGAAAAGACAAATAAAATCTTCAAAATAGACTTCTTTATAACCTTCAGGTTATACATCTGCATAAACAGTCTAATCTTTTCAGACTTGTCTCACATCATTACATTCTTTCTCTGTATCTTCATTTTGTTTTCATTTTTGTTTTGCAGTGGAATAATTCAAATTTGAGATGGCACTGAAAATGTGAGTCAACTTCTTTTCATCAGAACAAATGATTTGGTGTTCCTTTCTGAAGAGCTGGCATATCCATTCTTTTTCACTATGGACCTCTAATCAAAATTATCATTCAGCTGCCCAGGAAAAAACACAGTATTTGAGATCTGTATGCATGCCCAGCATTTCCAAATGCAGAGGCCATTGCGCTCCCATGAGTGACCCCGACAACCATAGTTAGGGTTTCCTAGTGGGCAACTAGCTGGCATTCGGTGAGCAGGAAAAAGTCTTCCTTAGTTTCACCAAGACAAATCACTAAATGGTAGTGATAGAAACTTAAACCAAAATTCATCCCAACACTCTGCTGTTGCCCAGGTTAAATCATTTGTTACTGTGAGCATCTGATATTTATATTACCCTCTGCTAAGATACTGGAATGAAATTCTAAAAAACACATCTGTTTCAACTTGCTTTCCTCTTGGAAAGTGATCTACTGTGTTCCTACCACTTAATCCACTTCTTTGCTAGGACAAATCACATGTCTCAACTCTAATAATTCTTCTTCCCTCATAGTTTCTTTTTGTTGCTTTTTCTTATAATGCCATTTTTATTCTCGCCCATACTGAAAAGAAATGAAATATGCACATTGCAGAAGGAAAATGAGGCGAAGCAACCATAGAATGAAAATATTGCTACAGGCCTCCACTACAAAGCACTGTGGGATCTATGACAAAAGTACTATATAAGGTCTATTATTATCCTTTGAAAACATGTCTCAAAGACATTTAGAGAAGATATCCTATACACTTGTGAGCCAGATCCAAAATTACCCAAGCCTTTAAGCATAGGCTCAAAGTACAAATTAAGTATTTCACTGAACTGGAGCAGAAATAGATTACTTCATCCTGTAATAACATGCTAGTAGAAGGTCTTTCTTCGTTTTCTTTTCACCAGTTGCTGTAAACTGCAAACTCACTACAAAACATCAAGGAACTAATACACTATTTCTAAGTATTCTGTACATTACTAAGAGGAGAAATTAGATAGGAATCTGTTCCCATTAAGAAAATCACAAATCATAGTCTCTTCAGAAACAAACAGAAGATAAATGATGCGATAAAATAATCCATTACTGGCAGAGCATGCAGAAACAGCTACAAGCCATCCAGTCCTTCCTTAAAGTAAATCACGGAGACAGCTGTTGAAAAATGGCCAGCATCCGATTACTTTGGCATAGAAAAATACCTTTTTTATGTTATACCCATTAAGAATATGTAAATGTCAAATATTAAGGGGATGGGACAATTCAATATAC